AAATTCTCTGAAGAGTTATTGTGCCAAATTTGGAGACTAAGTTCAGTCATTAAAGTGTGAAGCAAGGGATTTTACTGCTGCTTTAAGTGCAAATCTCAATACAGTCTTAAGTGTGGAGTCACTACTGATTTCTCCTTTATTCTTGTTGTTATTATTTCTAATCTCTGCAGCGAAAAACAAGAAGAAAATTCGGTGTAAAAAACAATTTGGAAAACGTTTACAATCCCTATTTTAAAATATCTCCTGCTAATTTCCACAAATGTTCCTGCTATCTTCAGACTGTGGTGATGGAGAGTCCCACAATATTATCACCCTTGGGTTTTTCTGAGAAATATTTTATGTAGATGTTTGTTTAATTTTTTGCACTCCTTTATAAACACTGAAATCATAAATCTACATTCTAAACAAAGTTGGAATAATTCTCATGTTGGTCTAACACTAAATCTTTGAGTGGCCTGAAGGATGCCTTGCAACTAGAATATTATATGCACTTCTGGATGCCTTCACATAGGAATGATGCAAGCAAATTGGAATGAATTCACAGAAAAGCATCAGAAGAGATTTTGGAGCCGGTTGGTGTAAAACATGTGGAATGTTATAAAAATGTTACTATGTCACAAAAACGACATAGCTACAATTTCCAAAATTGACTAGTGAATTGAGGTGAGGTGTTGAAGGGGCCTCACATTTAGAAAGTGCAAGCACCAACTCTTGGAAAACAAATCTTTTTAAAAGTAGTGTTACTGTGGGCTCCCTAAAGGGAGGTAAATAAAATCACTCTTTCCCTACAGCTGTGGCCTCACCAAGGCCGAATAAAGTGGGAGAATGACATCTTGGATCTTGTTTGAGATGCATCGGTAGATGCAAGCCAGGGTTTTATTTGCTTTGCCAGCTGCAGCATTGCACTGATGGCTCATATTCATCTTGTGGTCAACCATGACCCCCAAGTCTCTTTCAGACATAGTGCTAGTGAGTGAAGCACTGCCAACCTTATAGATATGATAGGGGGTTTTCCTCCCATGGTGAAGCACCTTGCATGTCTCTTATGTTGAAGGTCATCAGGTTTGTATCTGCCCACTTTGCAAACATAGGCAGTGGAAAGGGGGACTAAGGGGGCTTAGCCCCCCCCGCAACATGGGGCAACAGTAGGGCCACAAGGCAGCCCAGCTGAGGGCTTCCAGTGGTTGCAGCAGGGGTGGGGAGGGAGAGAGGCAGGTGCTGCCCAGCCGGTGGTGCAGGACTGAACCGTGAGTGGCTCATTTGGGGAGCACAGATCCTGCTGCTGCTTGCAACCTGGGAGGCATGGGGGGTGCGTGTCCCCTATATATACGGGGCAGGGTGGGCTGCCACTGCAGACTGGGGCTGGGCTGTGCCAGGCTCTTCCTGGTCGGGGCACAGCCATGCTACACTTGGAACAGGCGGTGGCGGTGCTGGGAGGGGCCTACGGGTGAATGGGGTGTGGTTGCAGCCACTTCAAGATTCACTGTAGACCACCTGAACCTCCTCCCAGTGCCACTGCTGCCCACCCACAGTGTAGCTTGACCCTCCCTGCCGGGAAGAGCCCAGTGCAGCTCTAGTCCCAGTCTGCAGCGGCAGCCCACCCTGCTCCTTGCAAATCTGGGGGCATACATCCTCACGCCTCCTGGGATGCCTGCAGTGGTGGGAACTGCCACCCGATGGTGGTTCCCTTGAGGAAAGCATGGTGGGAACTGTGGCTCCATCCAGTATCACACCCTGCCCCACCCTGGCTGTGCAGGGCCTGGCGGGGCAGGTGTGGGGGTCCTAGGGGCTCCGTCCCCTCTGGCCCGGTGGCACAGCCAAGGCTGGCCCTGCTCTGGCCCCCCTGCTCTGGGCCCCCTGGGCAATGTGGGACCGGGGTTGGTGTGGGGCTGTGGGGTGGTGGGTTTGTTGGCGTGGGAGGT